AGGCACAAGGGGAGAGGCTCAGCTCTTGGGTCCAGCTACCATCCCAAGGGGGTTGTCCAAAACGAGAGACCATGCCCATCCCTGCAAACATTCAAGGTCAGGTTGGATGGGTCTCTGAGCAACCTGATCTAGTTGAAGATGTTCCTGCTCATTGCAGGGGGCTTGGACTAGATGACCTTTAAAGGTCCCTTCCAACCTAAATATTCTATGATTCTATCTTATGATTCTATGATTCTATGAACCCCATTCTTCAGACCCAAATGCACCGTGATGCGGCTCTCCAGGACACCCTCACTCTGGCTGTCCTCATGGGGCAGGACACTTGACAGGAGGAATCTCCCTGAGGTGTTTTGATGGGGTCCTCACCCTTCCTCAGGAACTGGCCCTTCGTCTGGTCCATGATGTCTGCAGGGAGCAAGATGGAGCTGTACATTGGGTTCTCCCGCATGGCTGTGAAGGAGGCATTTTGCACCACCGAGGAGATGGCATCGTCATCCAAATCTTGCCCCAGGAACTGGCAGAGACATCTCACACTGCTGTGCATGTCCTGGAGGGACAGAGGGAGCCTGTTACAACTAAGTCGCTTGTAACACACTATCATGTTTGGAGCTGGAGGGTCTGCCTAGGTGTCTACCTGCTTCAGCTCTTCATAGGTGATGTAGAAGAAATTCTCAGTGTCCTTCATCTCCATCCAGCCTTGGACATGTTCGAACCAGGAGCCATGGGGCACTGGTGGGAGGCAAAAGGCATTAGGTCAGGGCAGGGCAGGGGATGTGCAAGGCTGAGGAGGGTTCACACAAGGTTGGGAGCAGGGCAGCCACGATGCAGGACAGAGCAATGGTGTCCAGGGAGCAGGTGGGACTGGGAGATCCAACTGCAATTGCAGCTGAGCAATCAGTTCTTCTCCAGCCACCTCCATGATTGGAAGAGGTTGAGGCTAGAGGTGTGCAAGGCTCACAGGTAAGGTCCTGCCAGGGCTTTATAAGGTTTCTTGGCCAAGACTTCCTGAAGATATTTGAACTCTGCAGGAGAAGGCAAGGAAATCCACTTTCCATCTGCTTCAAAGCACAAGAGGGCTTTGTGGGCCTGCGCATGTCTCCAGAAGTGCTTTGCTTTCCTCCTGATGCATTGACCTCTCTCCTGTGGGAAGCTTGGCTTCACAGCCATCATCAGTAGACAGTGGCAAAAGACTCCTGAGCCAGAGCTGATGGGAGACACCACACACCCACCCATCCCTGTGCCCTGAGTAGGCCCCAAACCACACTCACACTCTCCGTTCAGAAAGTCCCTCAGGAACTGCTCAAAGGATGTGGGATCCTCATAGCTGTTGCACATCTTGGAGAAGTAATAGTAGGAGATGACAACATCTTGAGGATCCCATACGGTGTAAATAACCTGGGGTGGAGTGCGTACAGGAGTGATACGTTCCCAGTAGGGGAAGGGGAGTTGCAGGCCCTGGCACTGGGGTAGATCTGAAAATGGAGGGGTCTGCCACACAAGGACCAACTCTGTGCTAGACTCCATCATGCAGACCTTGGGCAGGGGTCTCCATGAACACACAAGTCCCCTAGAGCCATTGGAGACTCTTCAAAATATCTAAGAGGGAAAGGATGTGACATGGGGATCTGCATATTTCCATCTGGAGGGCATGGAGGACACTCACCACTCTCCTAGGCCAACACCAAGATCCTCACCCAACACCCTTCACTCCAAGGTTCCCCAGATCCTGGGCAATGGTCTTCCCAGCCCCCCTGTCCCCTTGAAGCTCTGTGTGGGTGCCCATCCCACCTTGGCACTGGAATGGGAGAAGGACTTGGGGAAGATGTGCCTGGGGAGGTGGCAGGTCAGCAGGCGAGGTGGGGGATAGCTGAGGGCTGACTCCAGACCCAGACAGGTTGGGAACCAGGGCATGCGGTCAGAATTGAGGATGGTTCGGCTCCAGCCGGGGCAGCTATGGCTGTGAATGAGGCTCAGGATCTCGGCCATCCACACAGTGCCTGCCAGGGAAAGCAGAGGTGCAGGGC